AAAAAGAGTACTTGTTCTGTTTTAACATAGTAGCATCTTCATGAGGATTAGTTTGATTTAGAAATGAGTGATGAGCCCTGCACACATTAAAACATGGAAAGGGTGTAGTTGATTTGGCCTGATCTTCAAGAGGGATCTACCACAGCTGCCCGTGATGGGTGGGCGCAGTGTTAGGCTGAGTCCTTCCATCATGATAGGAGGTGTTAGGGTGAATTAGGGGCACAGGATCAGACTTCACTGTGCCTTTTCTGGCCTTTGACTTTGGGTAGTGCTTGTGACTCCTTTAGTGTCAGTGCTGTTCCTTGTTGGTGAAACTGAGAGCAGAACTGGGCCCGCAGCAGCCATGGCTTCTCAAAAGCTTGAATTGTTCTCACCCAAAGCTAAGATGGGGTARGGCTCTGTGAGGAGCTCCTCTTGATATTTCTTACACTACCTGGATATCTGGAAGTCACTCCTGGGCAGATTAGAATCTGACCACAYAGACATCTATCCATAACAGGAGAAATTAAGTTTTCTCTCTCATTCCCTTGGGTCTGGTAAGTAYAGCAAAGGAAGGCAGTGCTGGTCTGGTCTCTTGAATTGCATTCCCAGTAACTGATACGTTCCTTTCCCAGTGTTTTTCTGGAAGGTTGCACATGCTCTAATTACGTATGCATGTCCCGTCAATGCATATTAATTTTGTTACGCTTCTCCTCTGCAGAGAGAGAGACTTGCCCACAGCTGAAGTGTAACTAATGATGCCAAACCTTCTCTGGAGGCGTGTGGTTGTTTTGTTTTATTTTGTTCTACCCTTCCCCCTCCCACACAACTCCATCCGGAGAGATGGAGAACCCTTCTGTATGTCCAGTTTCCCCAATTCCCCTGATTTTCCCCCCGTYCAGTTTTTGTGACTAACCTGGTTCCTGTCTTTGGTTTTTTTGGGTGTCACCATCTGTGCTGTGGCCGTGTGCTCGCTTGCATGCAGCTGAGGAAAGGGCCTCCGGTGCCTCCGCCTCCAAAAGTCACCCCCTCCAAGGAGATCAAGCAGGAGAACATCATCAGTCTGTTTGATGACAATTTTGTCCCCGAGATAAGTGTGACAACCCCCTCGCAGGTTAGCTGCTATGCCCTGCCTTATACTTGTCTGCTTGTGAACTTCTTCTTTTGTCCTTTCCTCTCTTTGGAGGTGTCATGCCATGAAACCTGGTCAGGCAAAGGGAGAAGGGAAGGTCACTATTGGACCTCAGGTGACAGAGGAATGGGAAGTCATCTAAGGAGGAAGGATCACTAGAAAGCAGCTTCAGCCAGTGTGCTGCCCCTTCAGAGCTTCATGTGTGGAAGAAACCGGAGGGATGCAACTGCTGAAGAAGGCACCAATTTTTTACTGTTTGCAAAYATTGTTAGTAATTTTTCTAAATAATGCCTGTTGTGAATTCAGGGCTTTTAGCATTGTCTGTTGCTCTTTTTCAGTYTGTTGCTCTTTGTCAACCAACAGCTCTTTCAGTGATATGGCACATTTTGTAGCTCTGAAAATGGAATAACAATTTCAAGTAATAAGTTTTCCTCTTCTCTTTCCTTCTGATTTATATTACAGAGAGAGAGAGAGAGGATCCGGGTGGGGAATTCTTTTTTGGATCTATGAGAATGAGAGTCTGTGTAAATACAAGAGCCTGACCAGTTTTCTGGCTGCATCATGAGATACCTGCATCTTTTTTTTTTTTTTTTTTAATAGATACAAGCATACATTTTTATATATATACATATATATTTCTGAAATGCTTAAAGCATAAGTACTGCCTCTAGTAATGCTCATCTGTTACTCATTCCTTAACTTTTCCATGTGTCATGCTCTTCCACTGCCTCTGGTTTGCCACCTTCCACCCAGCTGCTGAGGAGCAGAGACAGTGTTGGAAGGCAAGGAGAGCTGTGTCAAAAGTTTTCAAGGCAATAGGTGAAGCTAACAGAGCAGGCAGTTGTTCTGGCAGCACTTTTGGAAGAGGGGAAGCCATGGGCAGCGGAGCAACTCTACTCTTCTCCTATACTTTTCTCCTGTATCATCATGGATGGCTCTGTCTGCCATGTGGTTTGTATCATGTTTTTCCATGTAAATGCCTGCCCTTAGCCAAATATCCTCTTCTGCATCTGATCAGTGTCCTGACCCTGGATGGGATCTGCTATGACATTCAAACAGATGAGATTTCTGAGGGAGAACCATTCCTGCCAGAACAACCTTCCTGGAGAACCCTGCAACCTTTAGTATTAAGTGCATTGGTTTGTGTCAGGTGTCTTTGCTCCAGTGAACTGTCTTGTGAGAGAGCTGGGTAAAATTAAGGGGTGCTAACCCTTCTGTATAGGTCTTAAGTGGTGGGTAAAGGTGTCCCATGACTAGAAGTTTGGGTGGCTTGCTGCCAAGAAACATAAGGACTGGGGTTGAATCTCTCTGGAGGCCTGGATGGAGCAATGTATTGGGATACCAGTGGATTTTAGATTGCTGGTGAGGATTTATTCCAGGGATGAAAGAGTTTGTTCCTTGTCTCCGTGCCTGTGGATATCCAAAAGAGCAGAAAACGTKCATAAGGACAACCTGTTAAGAATCAGAATAAGAGGAAGTTAGAGGAGAAGATGCTAGCCGTGCAGATCACATACAGAGGACTTTCTCATRATTGAATCCCTTGGTACCTTCCAGGAATTTTTCCATGGCGGGACTGTGAAATAACTGCAGGAACTGACCTGGCAGGCCTAGTGTGTTGTTGGAAAGATGGTTGGAAGCAGTAGGGCCAGCAACCTTGTAGGGTTAGTGGAAAAAAGGCAAATCTGCTTGGACTTCTGATCTGAACAGCTTCCTCTGAAGCTGACTAGAAGGRAGGTGTCTCACAGTGTTTGCGTTGAATCTAAAAATGAGAAGTGATAGTTCAGTTTTGGGATATTGATGATTCATTCACTTGTTGTGACTCTTCTATTAATGGTTGTCAGTAAATATATCATCAGTGTCCTTCTGGTGTGTTATTCAGAGTCAAAGGAACTTCTTATGACTTTGAAGAGAATAGCAAAGCCTCTCAAGTTTATTCTGTGTTAGGCTAGCGTGTGGGTGATTCTTGAATATCCTGAAATGGAATAGTACTGGAAAAAGCAAATTTTGGATTGGGAATAATTTGAATGATTGAATGATTTGAAATCTTTAGGGTAGCGGTGAGTTGTTTAATTCTGTATCTGTTTGTGTTAGAGGGAAGTAGGACCTTTGGGGAGTAGCTCTGATAGGGTGCCTCAGACCTGCATTGCAGAAGCCTGGTTYTTTTGACCATAGCAGGTCAGCCGCTTACACCGTGAGCTCGCTTGGGAAGGTGAGAAATTGAATGAGATTTGAGTCCCAAGGAAGAGAGGAGCTTGGTTTGCAGTGGTTTCCATGCTGTTCTGCCTATGATCACAGGTACTGAGCAGTCAGCAGTCACGCCACGTGTTTGTGCTCCCTGTGTCTTCTGCGCTCACAGCCTTAGCTCCTGGATGTCACTACCCTCTCTCCTGTGTGTGTACGTGTGTGTCTAATGCTCGTACCGCTTTTCTTCCTCGCTGCTACCAAGTTTGATGCCCCTGGGCCCTTCCAGGAGGGAGCCAGCCTGTTGGATCTGGATTTTGATCCCATTAAGCCAGATGCCACTGTGGGGAAGACCCCCACGCCTGCCTCCCAGGTTAGTTCCTATCATTGTTCCTTCTCGATTCGTAACTGAGTTGATGCCCAGGGGGCAGGACCTGCACCCACATGAGTTTTAATGTGGACCTGAGCTTCTGAGTGGCTGGGCTAGATGCCCAGGCCTGTACTCTGCAGGTTGGCACCTTTTGGCCRTCTCTGCTGGATGTGCAAGTCCAGGGAGGATCAGGTAGTCACCCGATGAGCCAGGTCATAGCCTAGCAGTGGATATGAGTAGTGAATATATATGTTTGCTAGCTAGATACAAACCAGAATATGGCATTTTTTCTTCTGTACKGGGTTCTTCTTTCATCAGAACACCAGTTAAAACAAAGATAATAGGTATATTGTCATTGGATTAGTATAAATTTGCCTTAAAATGAAACAATTTGTTACTGTTCCATTAAATAACAATATTACATGGAGTGGTGTTTTCAAAACTGCTTAACATTAGCTGAGTTTTGTTAGTAATGTATTCACTATTAAGTTAAGAAGTCACTAAAGGGTCTGAAATAAATGCTTTCTAATAGCAAACACAGCTGTACATCTATCACAAACCACCTAGTCTTCAATGGTGTCAAATTTGCTTTGTGCGGAGCACTGTGGCAAAGAGGTTAAGATATCTCACTACTGAGTCCARATTGTAATCTTACTGTGATGATGCCCAATCTGTGGGCTATGAGGTCATTGAATCATAATTAACAGTGATAGACCCCAGACKCAAGATATTTTTTTTCTGTGTGGTCTACCACTGATAAGTGAATGTGGCTTGGCTGTGTGCCTTCCATACCAGAAGTAGGAATTACTTAGATGCCTGGGTGCTTAGATTTGGCTTTGCCATGGGAGAAGTATATAGATTSATGTACTAAAAAAACTTTAAAATGCTTCATAAGTGCTGTTGAATGTGTACATCTGCCTCAGTCTGATGTAATGTTTGTACTCCCTGAAATAATCACGTATAAATATGTTTTTATTTTTGTTGCTCTTTGACATGCTTAGTCTTTACCTTGGGATTTATGGGAGGTAAGAACTTCATATAGCTTTCTCCTCTCACCATATACTGTGAATGTGCCAGCACCATCTGTGTGTGCGTCCTCTGTTCTCCTTTCCCTCTCTGTAACACAACCCAGAGCTGCTCCATGTGCTGCTGAACCCACTTTTGTGTCTTTCACCAAGTCCCAGGACTGACTTGTTTGTAAGTCAGGTCTGGCCCTTTCCCTCCACCAGCAGGTAACMCCCTTGCCTTTCCCTAGTGGCTTGCTTGTCCTTCCCTTGGCATGAAGCTGAACCCCGCTGTGGCCTCATGTTGTCTTGCTCCTGACTGCTGTATATCCTCTTGGTCTTCACTGTATGTAACGCATATACCTCTCAACTGCCCCTATGTTCACCTGCCTCTGGTCCTTGCTGCCTGTACCTTGCACATACGTATTTGGGAGGCTGCAAACTTTATCCTTGCTGAGTGCCTGGCCTAAAGACTCATTGTGGCCAATGCTCCTTCGCATGGACCTGGGGGTTGCCCAAAGAGAAGTTTCTCTTGTGCATTTTATCAGTCATCAGTGTTTAACATCTGTTATTTCCACTTACGTCTACTGTCAGTCTGTCTTTAAAAAAAAAAAAAAAAAAAAAAAAAAAAAAAAAAAAAAAAAGAAGAAGGAAAGAAGGGGAAAAAAAAGGAAAAATCTGTTTTTGCATCTCATGCATTACAAGCGGGTGAGTGTAGCTGAGGTATGGCTATATCTTGCTAGCAGAGCAATGCAGCGAAGTGGATGCCTGAAAAATGTTGGATTCTGGACTTTTAGAGGGTTTCTCGTGTGTTTAGAAAGCAGAACTGTCTTTATTACCTCTCAGTATTGCTGTGGTGGCAGGAGGAGGTGCTGATATGTCCCTAAGGGTCACAAAATGACAGCTTATTACTTTCTTTCCTCAAAGGCAAGTAAAGATTAGGAGAAGACGAACTGCCCTACTCAATTCTGGCTATTAGACGGAATGTGACTGCAGAAGCTGCTTGAACAAAAGAGCTTCTCAAACCTGCTGTTTTCTGTCTGTCATTTGTGGGAGGCAGWAGGTGTTTTAGTTATTAAATAAAACTTTTTTTTTTCTTGGAAGAAAGATAGCTTTTTTTATTTTTTATTGGAAGAAAGGAGGCTTGAAATACTGAAGAGCATTGGTGTTTCTGGTCAGAATGTGAGCAGGAGTTTGTGATGATGAGTTGTGTATGTGAGACCACCAGGGAACTCGAGTGGAGATCCAGGTGTGAGGATTCTAGATGATGATGCACGGGTAAATATAAGTACCCCTAGCAGGTGTATTTAGAGACACCTAACAGCTTTAGGTGTTAGCAGGCTTTAGATAYCTGGTGGTCACATGAGTTAGAGAGCTTGAAGGGCTGATATGTGACAGATCTTGGGTGAGACCCTATATACCCCTATATTAAGATTTCTGAACAGTTTTGCAGATTCTCGAATTTTAGGTTTATGTCATTGGAAAACAAATGATGGGAAACAYATCCTCAGATGTATCTGAGTTATGCTTAATATTACAGTCTGGGAGGTAAGAGAATTTTTGAACCATATTTACTCTTCCTCTCATATAGGAAACAGATTTGACCCAAAGGATGGTATTACCAATGGAGGAGAGCGAATAGACAAGCTGCCCTCACTGTGCCAACTTTCATCTTGACAATATTATTTGAAAAGCAGAGCTCCCAATGCCTGAGGAATCCTCCTCTTGCTCTSCAGAAAAGCCCCCTGAAGCGTTTGCTGTAGCTGTTGGTATGAACAGAAGTACTGAGTTGGGTGCGTATTCCCACGTGCCATGAGGTTAATTAACTGCAGAGAACCTGGGATGCAGGAGAGCTTGGTTCTGCAGACAGTCAGCTTTCATCTGGTGCATATGATGATGCTCTTGAAGCACATACGGCTTTCAAAGCCAGCAGCAGCAGCGAGCAGTTCTACCTCGATTATCTTCCCATGGCTAGAAATGCTTGTATAGGCCTTGAGATGCCTGCAGGTACCTAAAATAGAAAAATAGGTAGTTGACATGAAAATACCCATTATTGGAATCCAGCAAATTAATTTGGATTGTGTTCCTCTGGTTATTAAATACTGTTTTTGCAAATTAGCTGTCCTTAAAAATCTGTAGCTCAGTGTGAGCATTTTCTCACTTGTCCCAATAATAAAAACTATACTGAGCAAGATAGCCTGGGGTTGGCACCTATCCCTAGTCTTACTGAATCTGAATAGAAAGCAGCCTGGGAGGGAATCTAATTAGGGAGGAGAAACCTTTGTAGCATTTCATATATATGCATTTTTGTTACCACTTCCAAGGCATCTGTGGCTGTCACCTGCAGAATGGGCAGTCACAGCTCTACTATTTTTAATGTGGCCCAGCAGTATAGRCCTGGGAACATGGTGATGCAGAGACATGAGAAAGACGATGGTAAGATAGAAAAAAAAAAGTGTTAAATGGCAAAATTGGGGCAACTAAAGGGTAAACGGAGGAGTTTTGTTAAAGGTATTTACAGCAGCAATAAGCAAGATATGTTCTAAGCAGCTTTCTGGTTGTCATGCCAGTGTGTTGCTAGCAGCCAGATGGATGTTGATTTATGGGATGCTGTGGGTGTTGCTTTGCACAGTGCTGGGCCTCCTCTGGCCACGCTCACCATTAATGTTGTGTTGAAGTTTGCTGGTCTGTCTGGTGCTGTAAGTCTGCTCAAAGACACATGGAGACTCTTAAGTTGGCTTGGGGCCAGCCCAGATGTGATGAGAGAAGTGAGATAGAAGGAATTTGTGAAGGAAGCAAATGCTAATGCAGGATCTGATTTATAAAATGGTTTATCCATGTGTCGTCTTGCCAGAGAGTGTTCTCATGGGAGTGAAGATGAAGGGAGAGGTTTGGGGTTAGTTCAGAGACTGTCTGGGCTTCAATCACCCCATAGTGCTGATGAGGAATATCTGCAGAACTCAGGTTTCCAGAAAGTATCTAGTTTTATAGTAAATTTGGTAGACAGCAAGGTTTTCCCTGCTCAGTTGAGCCTGGGAACACGTGCTTTGTAGGATTAGTTTTCTGAAAGCAATCCAGTGCAACATGCGCTAGGTGACACTRTTTGAGCAGGGGAGTAGGACTAGATATTTTCCAGAGGTCCCTTCCCACCTCAGCCATCATATGATTCTGTGGGCTAGACCCATAGGTTCTTGTTGGGAGTGTATCTAGGTGCTGCTGGGTGAATCTCCAAAGGAAGCAATCARCAGCATTAGTGCTAGCAGATATAGCTAAGTTTCTGCTCCTGGAATTTCTGTTGGTAGATGCGAGGATATTTAAGAGAACTAAAGAGATTAAAGCTGTTCAGAATAGGAACCTTATTATGCCCATTGAATCATCTCTTAAAAGCACCTGCCTTCCTTTCTGTGATAGAGGACAGTTTATAGAGTCCTTATTTCATCTGTTCACCAAAATGAAAATGTCTAGAAGTAGTGTAGAAGTGATGGGAGATGATTCTATTGTATGATTCAATACAAGCTGGTTTAATACTCTTTTAGAACTTGCTTCTCAGCTGAGCCCAGTTGAATGCAACTTCTCTGAATAGGTTTAGTGCACGACTCTTCTGTCCAACATCTTCGGGGAGGCTAAGGCAGGGGCAARTGAACCTGTGTAATTCTGTGTTGCAACAGAAGAGTTAACACAATCTCGGCAGAGAAAGAATAAAGGTTGAACAGCCCCATGTATATCACATGTGTGTATTTGCTTTGTCTCTTGTTGTGTTCAGAAACCATAATCCTCAGGGTTCCAAGAACATCCTCTGGCAGGCAGTGCTTTCTAGGTGCTGATGAATGTTTCTTCATGGTCGTTGCAGCTTTTATGTGTTAGAATCTCCTCACCTACACAAATGTGTGCGTGTGTTCACACCATGCAGAATATTCCTAGCAAATTCTTTTGGACAGAATATTAAGAGCAAAATCCAAATCCACAACTATGTGGGATCCACACACAAGTTGTGGATCCCACATAGTTGTGGATAGTTGCTCTATCCACAGAGCAAGTTGGGGAAAAAATAGCACACTTTTCCAATTTAGTCTGACTCAGGGCTGACATCCTCTGTTTCTAGGAGCATGTGAGGGCTTTAGTATTCCTTGATTATCAGTCCTTGGAACTAGCATATTAGAGCTATTTGTCTCTTGACTTAAAACTAGGCTTGTGTATTCACCTATTTTAGAAGTGGGAAACTCGGATGTGGTAATAGATGCAGTGCATCTGTAAAGTAGGTGTGCAAGTTAGGTTTTGGAAAGAAAGAGGCATGCAGGGTTTTTGAGCTAGTGTGATTTTCTTTTCTGGAATATTGTCGGYTGTGCAGGTGGGGTGAGGGAACGAGGGCTTTGCTGTTTCGGAAGGTTACAGAGAAAGGAGGTGGAAGGGCCTAGCAAGAACCTGAAGTTCCTCACCTATTTGTCAGCAGATGGCAGCAGTCAACAACATTGGACTCTTGGGCAGACTAAGCTGCAGTTTCTGCACGCTCAGCTGTAATGGGCATAACTCTACCTGGGTGGCTTTTGTGTTGCAGCCTGCAGAAGCAGCTCATGCAGGTGCCGAAGCAGCTGGATCAGAAGCAGCAGCCGGAGCCGAAGCATCTAAAGCCGAAGCTGATTCAGGATCTGCCTCAGTAAGCACCAGGAAGGAATGTGGTCCCTCCTCTCTCTCACGTTCCTTTGTGGTACAGGAGACAYGCGGGAGACTGGGCTGGAAAGAGACACGCGCGAGTGCTTGGAAAAAACACATCCCTGCCACTCCAGCAGTTACAGCCCTCCTGTTAGAGGCCAGACTTGGGTTTTACTGTGCACGTTAAAGCCAGGATTTGTTTGATGCTTAGGGAGAAGCTCTGCAGGAAGATTTAATAAAGAAACTGTCTGTTCATCCCTTCATTTGTACCCTGAAGGCAGCACATAGGTGCTGTGTTTAGGCTTAGGCTTTCTCCGGGGTTCCTCTTTGCCTGTTGCTTGCTTTCTCCTCCTGTCCTCCGCTGGTTGATTCTGAATCTCCAGGTTTCTTCTGTCTTTCTGACACTGCCACCCTTTTAAGGGGGCAGGAATAAGTCCCGTCTCGTGCCTSGTTTCTCCAGCCATTCTGTTGTGACTTGTCTGCTCTACAGAGGCTCTACAAGAACTGTGTGGTGGCGGCGCTGAATGGGAAACGCTGGGCAGTGCATTCCCAGGAAAACCCTTAAAATCATCTCTGCTGCAGCCTGAAGGAAGACACCAGTCACCAGTCCTGCTTTTTCTCACTGCCACTTCTGCTGTCATTGGGGTGTTTTTGTCACTGATTATTGCACTGGGAAAACCCACTGCCACCTTGAATGGGCTTGGGGTTTAGGACAGTCTTTAGTGAGGATCCTTCAGGGTGGGAGCAGGAGCTGCCAGTTTAGAGTCTCTTTTCTCAGCTGTGCTTTTTTCCTTCCCTGGCTGCTGCCCAACACCAGAGCTCTCTGCCTGCTGTGGTTGTGGAAACTTTCCCTGCTACTGTCAATGGCACCGTGGAAGGAGGCGCCTCCTCCGAAAGAGCTGACATGCCCCCGGGGTTTCTTTTCAAGGTGAGTGTGAGCCTTCCCTGTACCCAATTAATTATATTAATTATTTTGTTCAGCATGGTCATGGGAGCCACGTTGAAGAGATGAAAAGAAGTTGAAGGAGAGGTCCTGGTGCTCTCCAGCAACAGGCTTCTAGCTGTATTCAGTTCCAGGTGTTTCAAAAGACAGCGTAAAAGCACTGTAATGTAAATGTCTGGCTGTGATGTAAAACACAGCCCTTCCTTCTCTCTCTGCAGCTATTTCTGATCTCCAGGGTGGTGGTATCAGTTTCAGACTCTGGGTGGTAAATGGGAAGTTGGGCTCCAAACTGGAAAGGTTAAGCTCTTTGGTGCGAGCAGCAAGTGAAACTTTGCCAGCAGAAATTGTTGGGGTTGGAAACACCAGTAAGGATAGGATTTCCTTTGGAGGGAGATTAGAAAGTTGTGATAAAAATGGAAAAAATATAAGATTAAACAGCAAAGCTTCATGGGGAATCTGAATATGCAGCAAACCACTTGCAGCTTGTTTCGAAAGTGTGGAAGAAGTAATTTCAAGTAAGGGTGAGCCACTAGCTTAACATGAGTTATRAAATATGGCAACAGGACAATAATGAGCATTGTGTCCTGGAAGTGAGAGGCCACAGTCTCATTTTCTGTTTGTTTATACTGCTGTAGGAAGGCTTTTATTTTGTTTCAGCGATGTCCATGAGTCAGGGACATGCTACCAAACCTGAAAGAGTAGCAAAGCTGGGGAGAACACTTGGATTGGTTACAGGCGGTAGATCTTAAAGCGGAGAGATGAGATTTGAAGCGGAAAAGCTGTAACACAGATGTGGATACAAATTAGGCAGAATACCAAAGAGAAAACATGGCAGGATATGATCTCTTGATGCATCTTCCCCCAGGAGGTTCTTCTGATGTTGGACCTTTGAAACAAGGCTACAGAGAGCAGACCTTTCAAACTGATGCTTTTATGTTTCCTCTTCTTGCTGTGACTGGGCTAGGAGACTGTAATCCCTAATGCTCTGGCAGTCCAGCTGCAAAAACAGTACAGGACAGCTTTTGGGTAAATACTGACTTTCCACCCCATGTGAATTTAGACCCGTAGCATGGGAACTCGAGCCTTCTGAAAAAGGTTCTGGAGGATGGATGAGAAGTTGAATGAGACGAGTCACCAGGATGCCCTTGTGGCAAGGGCCAGCACATACTGGACTGTATTAACAAGCATATAGCCACTAATTTGAGGGAGGTGATTATTTCCATGTAATAAGGCATTTGTGATCTAAGCCTGCCCTGCCTTGAGCAGCAAGTTGGATCCAAGGACTTCCAAGGTGCCTTCCAACCTGAATCATCCTGAAAATAGAGTAGGGAGCTGTGTTAGACGGTACAGAGCTGGGTGGGAGAGGGCTGATCTCACCAAAATGCTCCCCTCCTCCTAGGTCCAGGCCATGCATGATTACACAGCCACTGACAGTGATGAGCTGCAGCTGAAGGCTGGGGATGTTGTGCTTGTGATTCCATTTGAGAACCCTGAGGACCAGGTGAGTGGGKGATCCTGGGGCTGGGATGAACTGGGAGGGTGTTGGGAGGTTTCCAGAGCTGCTTCTTCCTCCACTAACAGTCTGCTGGCTGGATGCAGAGCCATCAGTTTGTGGCTGGGAGCTGGCTGGAGAGGTGGGTTGTCTTTGAGCTTGAGGTTGGCTTCCTGCAACAGTGGAGCACTCTGCTTGTGATTGGAAAGTGGACATTACCTTGTACAAAGCATTGAAATAGCTAGGGCTTCCGGTCCTTATCAGGGCATTTGAGCCAAGTTAATGGCTTCATTGATCAGGAAGCCCAGCAGAGTCCCTACTCAGCCTTCTTGGTGCTTCTAAACCTGATGAACATCCTCTGCGATCACTGCAGTGTGGACTGTGGCGTTGGTAGGAGTAACCCACTCCATATGGTGATGCTTTCTCTCTCTCTCTGAGAAATGCTGGAGCACTAAGAAAGCAGCTTGCCATGGATGTTGTCTTGCACTCTGTGTAGCAGTGCCTGTTTCCAAAAGAGCGTTTGGCCAGGAGATGGCAGCAGAACCAAAGGCTGGAGGAGGATGCTCAATTCCAAAGAACCATCTCCCTTTCCAGCTTCAACCTGAATKTAGCTGGCAATGATGTTCTTGAATCTGAGCTATCTGTAAAAGCCTTGAGTAAATCMTCACTGCTTGCTGTGTTTGAGGGTTTCCAGCAGATAGATGGAGCAATTTCATTGTTTTGGCTGAGGGAGATGGTAGTTTTGTAAAAATTTGTTCAGGTTCAAGTTGCCAGGCTTTAGTTTGCAAAGGAAAGACATTCTCCAAATTGATTSAGAGGACAGCAGATCAGTGGACATAGATGAGCCCAGATGAGGTCTGATTTCTTTAAGAGTTAAAGGGAGGATGGTTTACTTCCATGGCCACAAATGATGTGTTCATCTTTGTGACTTACCTGTTGGCTTTGTTAATCATATTGCTACTGCTTGTGAAATGGGAACTATGATGTGCTGACTACTCCTGTAGAGCTAGGTGCTCTAGGGGGAAGGGTATGTGGGGAGAAGCTGTGATTCCTTCTGAAGCTCTCTGATGGGGACTGTTCTGGCCAAGGTTTTGTGAGCCCTTCCTTCACAGAAATCCTCCTGGATGGAAAATGAGTGGGAGCTCCTCTAGTTTCAGTGGTAGAAGATGGCATTTATTGAGCAGAGTTTTTTCAATGCCCTATGTTTGCACTCTAGCTGGATGTGGGGGCAACAGCCATGAAYTCGAGACTCTCCAAGCTGCAGAGGGTGAGCTCTGAGTGTTGCTAACATGATGCTGCAGCTGCACTGAAGCCCTCTAACAGTGTATCCTGTGCTCCAGCTCATTTCCCTAACCCTGACCAYATTCAGCCAGAAAGCATTGGGTATTTACAAGTGCATGGACTGTGCAAGGGAATGGAGGAGGCTTAGGGAAATAGACTGTGACCATATTTCCACTGTGCAGCTTAGGTGCCAGTTTGTGGGTAGATGAGCCCAGCCTGGATTCATCTCCCTTGCTGGGAGGAGCTGAGGGCAGCAATACTTTTAGCTTAATACTTAAGCTGTCCAAGATCAATAAGAGTGAACCCAGGCCCTAGTCTCTAATCCCTGGAGTTGAAGAAGACTCTTGTAGCTGAATGTGGTGGGAGGGATTTATGYTGTATCACACAGATGTTATGAGTAGATGGATGATCTTCTGCCCTTGCTGTGCTGTGAGCTAGAAGTTCCCTTCCAGACACTTGGGCCCAGCGACCTCCAACATCTTTTCTCTTCCTGACTGATGGTGTGTCAGTCCCCCCACAGCCCCTGCAGCTGCCTGCTGCAGATGGGCTTCCATCTTATGTTCAATGCTCAAATCTCTGGCAGGATAAGGCTTGGCTTTCAGGCGACCAACCCTGTCTGTAAAGAGCAGAGAACGTGGACTGCGGTGGCCGGTCTGACCTTCTGCCACATCAGATGGACAAAAGGGCAAGAGGTCAGAGGCTGTAAAATGGCAATGAGCAGCCACGTCTGCCTCGCAGCTTGTCCTCTGWGAAGGGCTGCCATGCAGGTATGTTTTTAAAGACCAAGTCTAAGTGAGGCGTTYCTCGACCTTGGGTCAATTTGCAGGTGACTCCTGCCAGCTCCATGAAAGAAGTGCACACATGCATGTCCCATCTGCCCCAGCTTAGAGCAACTAGGTGTCTGAGCATTTCTGTCCTGGCAAGCTGTGTCGTTGAGTGCGATGGCAAATCTCCACGAGAGCTTACTGCATGCTTTGCCTGGAGGGGGGATGCAAAGCCAGCTGCAGTGTTTGGAGGCAGCCACCCTTCGTGTAGCTCTGTCTCCCTGTGCTGCAATGTTAACCCAAATGTTGCTCCACTGCTAGTGACTCATGTTGAGTGGGCACTTCTGCATGCTAATGGGATGCTTCCTTGTTGACAGCTCCAAGTTAGGCAYAGAGTTGAGTACAGCTGAGCTACAAACAGGGCAGCCTTCCCACCTTGAGTATCTGTTGTCCCACACATGCTTTAGATGAAGCAGAACTGTCAGTGCTGGACAAACTGCAGAGAACAGGGATAAGGTGGGAAGTCTGATTTTCCTCTTGGGCAGGTTCTAACAGGCAGGACTCTCCTTGCCTCAGAGAAATTCATCTTGATTTATAGATCACAGATTTGGTGGCCATGGAGGACCTCTTGAGAGACCTGGAGTTCCACATGGTGTGTAACACAGACTGTCAGGCTGTAGTTTGCCAACTACACCTTGTGTCAAGCTGAGCAGTTTTGAGGCTTTGGGGGAGATAAATCGGGCCCCTTAACTCCCCATTTCCATAGAGGGGTTTTTAGCATTGCAAGCAAGACTCATTTTGCTTCTTTCAGCTCTCTCAAATGCAAGTCATCCAATGTCCTGACTAGAGCAGGAAATGAACTCTATCATTAGGAGATTATTCACCTTTTTCTAAGATCTGTGCCCCGGATGAAAGGGATGAATTGCACTATGGAGGTTCCCATCTGTTTTCTTGCCATGGAGAGTGCTAGACCCTGATAGTTTAGCAAGTGGTAGGTAGGGTCRGTTAGATGATTCTCATGCCATAGCTCCAGGGACTTTCAATAGCAGAATTTCTCCTGCTTCTGTGAGTATAAATTATAACRTGCATCTTAATAATTGTTTGCAATATTTCACTGTCCCAAGAGATACTGCATCAGATAAAAGTTTTGGTACTGACTCCTGTGGATTTGACTTTCTCACTGTTTAGAAGTGGAAGGAAGTCTTCCCCAGGGAGCCTTCCTCCCCCTTCCCCAACCTTCCTGGATCATCTCCAAGCCAACTATGAGCATGGCTTTGATCTGCCTTGACATCTCCTAGGCCTGCACTSCCCCAGAGAATTCCTGCTCTTGCCTGTCCTTCAGTATCTGATCTCTGTGTTCTCCTCACAGGATGAAGGATGGCTCATGGGCGTGAAGGAATCCGACTGGATGCAGCACAAGGAACTTGACCAATGCCGAGGGGTTTTCCCAGAGAATTTCACAGAGCGGGTGCAGTGAAAGCCTGAGTCCACCAGCCCCATTTTCTGCTGGAAGAGAGCAAGTTTGCTGATAGATGTTTGGAAAAGAACAGCAAAATGAAAGAAGAGAATTTTAAAGGAAGAGAAGTCTAAAAAAGTGTCAACTGAAAGGGTGTGTTCTCAAAGGGCAAGGTTTTAGAAGTAAATTGAAACTCAAAGCTTTATTAAAATATATACCTATCATAATAATAAGGCAAGTCAAATACCCTCTTCCACCTTTGATTTAACAGCATTTGAATTCAGAGGACTGATACAGAGGCAACTCAGTGTGGTTCTGCACATTGCCTGAATTGGTGACGTGTCAGTCTGATCTGGAAAGGCAATATTCGTCCGATGACTTGAGCAGAGAAGCTCCATTTGCTCTTGGGTGGGTTCATCTGTTTTGTCTCGAAGGTGGCTTGCATGGCAACCATAAAAATTCAGCCTTCCCCATGTGTTCAATTTACAGTAGGCCGAAATATCTGTTATGCTGTTCAAAAGATATATTTAGTGTATAGTGTTCACCAATACAATGTATGTGTGTGTGGGTGTGTGTGTGYGCGCTTTATTTTCTTTCTTTCAAACAATGTTATGCAAACTGTGATTTTATACATTTGAAGATAAAGGAAGCTATGTGGGAAGGGCATGGAGGAGATRACCTGTGTGAAGCTGTGCTAAGTCCAGAGATTTCCTGAAACTGCAATTTTCAAACTAGTGTTGGCCTGTGAAATGCCAGGAGGAACTGACAAATTGAAGAGGAGAAACGAGGCAAAACAAACAGATGCCGAAACTTCAGATGGTTCTGAAATTTAGGAGAGGGAATCCCCTGCCCCCAAGCCCTGTAAACAGATTCAGGAAGTGCTTAGATTCCTGTAGAGGGAGGATAGCAATCTAATCCGGCTTGTTAGTATGCTTGTAGAGGAAGAGATAATGGAAGGTTCCCCCCACCCCAAAGGCTATGTAAGAAAAAACACTGAGAAAAAGCACTCTTTTCTGTATCTTTAATTGGAATTGTTTGTGGAATTGTGTTTCTTATTTTTATTCAAAGAGATTCTTTAAGTGAAGCATTAGATCAGCTTTCTCCAGTGTTGTGCTGGTGATCTGGTTAACTTCCAAGAAAACTGGACTCTTAAAATACTCATTTGAACTGACTGCATGATTTCATGGTATTTTAATGCATTAAAAGCGAAAGGCAAGGATGTCCAATTGTCAGTGTCACAAAGACGCTCTGCGGTCTAATACTGATGCTGAGAATTTTCCTAGACCTTTCCTTTGCTCCTGTTTGCTTTAGATGTTTTGCTTATTTTTAGTTTAAACAAGCAGATATCTCAAAGTGCATATTACACTAGTTAAAATAAGCCAGTTCTGACCCTGCAMGACTCTGACATCCCACAAAGGTACTTTTAAACATTACTTGAATACTGATGCAGCTGGCAAGCAGGTCAGGCTATTACCATTTTTTATGGCTTCTTATCCCCATGATCTTTTTGCCTTGAAGGGATTTTCAACAGTRAGGTTACCTCCTGCTGCAGAGGGACAGGATCACTCTATGAAATAATCTTCCTAACTTRGGAGCTGGCTTTTATCAAAGATGCAGAGAATGCTGACACACACTACTGAAAATCCTACCCTCTCTGACCTGTTTTCCTTACTTGTAGGACAACAGGGAAGAAAAATAGGGTAATAATAGAGTAATAGACTTTTTTTTTTCTTTTTTAATTTTGGTCAAAGGGAAGTGTCAAGTTTTGATCTGATGCTATATTCTTGTAAATGCAAGGATTGCTGGAATTCCTCTTGCTTTCAACTTAAGAAATGATCCGTACTAGGTATTTATAGCAATATAACGGGTATCAAAATCTGTCCAAATTCCATCCCCATTGCCCCCTCATTTTTATTAAACACACTTGGAGGAATTTTTATTTTACATCACTGTTACAAAACTTAATAGTATTTAGGAGTAACTGCTCACGATACAGGGGGACTGGATGCCCTGGGTTATAGTATGGTGAGCCATTGCTTTCAAATACTGCCCTGTTTAATTTGCCCTTCTTTTTTCCCTTTTTTTTTTTTTTTTTTTTTGTAATCATCAGTGTTGTCTTTATTATTACTCTTTCTTTCCAAAATATCTATTTTTATGTATTTGTGACCCCCATCTACTCCTTTAAAGCATAATCTTAGAAAAAATATGCATTTAAATACATAGAAATATATATATATAAAAAAGCGGGTTGATCCAAATAACATAATGCTCTCAGCTTAAAATGTTTATTTTTATGCAAAACTTGTGAATTATTGTTTTTTAAAAAAAGATAAGATTCTAAGTACCAGAGCTGTGATTTTTGTCTTGCAAGTAATTGTTCTAGAGCATTTAGAAAGCTGTGCTGATTTCTAATTTATTCTGTTTTTTTGCTGTTGTTGTTGTCTTCTGCTGTATTTGAACCAGATGACTATCCCAAAAGAAACCCTTCTAAGGCCTKTTCATTGTATTGAGCTTGCAAAGTAACTATCCAGTACTGTATTGTCCCTGCAGATGTGCTCACGCTCTGCACAAAAGGGATGTCGCTTTCAGGTCACATGAATGATGCTCAAATATGACTAGTGTGAGCAATGTTGCACCTCTCCTCATTTGTTCATGCCCAGCCTCCAGAACCCTTGCTTGAAGTAGGTAGGTTGGGCTACCTAGATCTTACATTGCTTGCAGTTAAGTGGTTGCAAGTGCATCTCAGCTTCTGAAAGTGCAGGATTGGAGTCAGCATTTCTAAATTGCCTTACTTGAGATGGCTTAGCCAGAAGCTTGTAGGTGGTGGTGATTATTTGGAGCCAGGAGGTCTGTCACCTCCTGCGTCACGTTCAGCCCGTCGGAAGCAGGCTCAGCTCCTCTGATTTTTAGTATTTTGACATCAGCTAAATACCTCGACTCTGGTTGATACGACAAACTTCCCATTTACTTTGGTTTAGGATTAACTCGTATAGACAGAGGGACAGTGAACTTTCAAGTAGGCTGTGCCCACAGTGTTTTTTCAGTTTGCGGGCAAAACTGAAAAATCTGCAGGAAAAAAAATTGTAAGGGTGATCTGAAACTTTTTTTTTTCGTTTTTCAGGGAATAAAAAAGGGAAAAATCAAAACATATAATAGTTTCAATCAAAAATGAAACTTTTCATTTTTAGAATTGCTTTTTCACTTTTTTAAAAACAGTTTTAAGCATAGTTGGGCTATGAGAAGTTGTTTTGAAGCAGAAATATGAAACTTTTTGTTTTGAAAAAGCAGAAAATGTTTTAATAGTGTTTTTGCTTTTTTTTTCTTAATCTGAAAAATAGTTTTGGTAAACCTTAGAACTGCTTTTTTCTTTCTTTTTTTTTTTTTTGGTGCATGTATCATATATTCAAGAGAATCCAAAGCAGCCTGTTGCCCAGTTCTGCTCCGCTGACTGTTGCTCTGCACGGTTCAAGGATTGCAGGGTGTCTTGCACAGCAAAGCTGGCATTTGTCCATCTAATAATCTTCTCTTTGATTGTTTTACTGGGTGAGCTATAGAAGCCCCTGCCATTGATTAGTTTTGTAGTCTGGCTTAGAAAGACATCCTTGCTCTCTTGGTCTCAGGTTGGTTGTAGGTTTATGACAGTTACCCAGTTTGAGTCTAATCCTATTGTTTGGGAATTTTCATTTGCCCAATTGGTAAGAAGAAATGATCCATACTAGGATTCCTTTTCTCTATCTTGACAGTCATACGTCTTTAATATGTAGAATTAGGATAAGAGGTTCCAGGTTAAGGATGAATGTGTTGTCCTAGGTGGGACACCTGCATGCTCTGTGTTGCTTTGCTTGGGCATTCCTCAAACATTGGCTGTTATGGCCTTTGCTCTTGGCTGTGAAGGTCGTGTAGCAGAATAAATGATCATGTAGGCTCCCATTCCAGGTGCTCAGGTTGTGGTAAATATCATGAAGAAGGTGGACTAGCTCCTCGAAGCTGCAGGCTCCGGTTTTCCAGCTCACAAACCCTTTCCTGTCCTCCATCCCAAAGGCTGTAGTCAAAGCAAAGACCACTAAGACTCTTTTATGACCTGGAGCAGGTGGTGAGAGCTCCATACTTAACCTGAAATCAAGGTATCTGCTTTATTCTGTTTCACAGCAGCCCCTTGAAAGGGAAAGGTTCAAGTTTAAGTGTATGCTGTTGGAGGATGGAAGGTTGATAAATGACCTTTTCCATTGTGCCAGAGGGATTAAAATGCTTTTGGCATTTAGCATGGTTGCTTTGGACATTGTGCAGTCTGTATCCTCAAATGATGGTCAGTGGGACATTTTGTACTAGTCTATGCAGTATGATGAGGACTGCATCCAGCATATGTGTCCATAGCTGAAAGGGCAGCTCTGAGGGGCAGGTCTTCAGCATCACTTCGGCTCCTGTCATTTTGACTGCAGTTGTGCAACATAAAGAAGCAGGTGCTCTAAGTGTCATTTAAGTCAATGAGGCTTTTGCACATGTGCTTTCTTGGATGGTGCCTGCTGGCCATAACAAGAATAGGCCTCTACTTCATCACTACTTTGGTTGACTCTGGAGGAATTTTTCCCACTGAAAGGCCACTTCTTTTTGTGATATAAATGTCCCATCTTTAATAGTGGCTAGATGCTGAAAAATGGGAGTGGGTAAAAAACAAGAATCTGCTTCAAGGCCTTTAATCGTAGGGTAGGAACTGAGCTGAGTCCAAAGCTGGCAGAGGATCCCTGCTAGTGTAGAAAAGCAAAGGGTCAGGCTGTTAAGTCCTTTATGCCCTGTGTGTGCTGGGAAGTAAATACACTACTGCTTAGCTGAGACAAAAAAAGAACAGTATGACACTGAAGCCTTGTGCCCATGCCCACAGGGGGCTAGAGATTGTATTTCAGTGAGTGCCTAGATTTTCATCCGTTCCCTGGATGGTCTGGCTCAGTAGTGGGCCCAGGGCTGCATTCCCTTGACGTTTTGTTGCTTTCCTCTTTGGCTCCCTTGGCATTTGTAGCTTGCTTTGGGGATGCAGGAGCAGGCTCCTATATCTCTTGCCCTATGCTCTCTATTCTAAGCTGAGAGGAGCTAAGTTAGGTCCACAGGAGCATCTTCTACTCTCCCTCTTATGTGGTGGTTGACCCTGCTCAGAGTCTGACTGTGGTGCGGTTGGCAGAGGATGTCCCGAATCTGATGCTGTAAAATAGATGAGAGCAGAACCCCTATAGATACYAGGGTGCCTAAAGTCCTCTTGACTTCAGTAGCCTCTGTGTCTCTCTCAATCTGGTCCCACTCTCCAGCTCCTCCTGCTTCTCAGCTGCCCTGTGCTCTGAGGATGATGGTCACGTAGCACGTTTCCCACCAGCCTAAAGTATGAAACTAGAAGTTGCACCAACCCATGTTGAACAGCGTTGCAGTTTGATAATGCTCACGTTAGGAAAATAAGCAAGAGTTTCTTCTCTTTAGGCCAAAGGATGACTATTTCTTGCTACACAGATACCTCGCTGCTTTCATGCCTGGGGCTGGTGCAAACACACCTTGCTGCTTGCATTATTTGTTATAGGCATTTCTGAGCAGCAAGCTCCTGTCAAGGAGAGGTGACCTTCCATGGTGCCCACAGAAGGGGTTGTGTCCATCACCCTTTTGAAGGTTGGGGTTCATAGCTGCATCATGAAGGCTGAAAATTGGATGTTTTCTCCTTGTTYAAAGGTCACTTCAGAAACTTTATTTATGAAACTGAATAGAGAACCTRTATCTGTCAAGACTGGTCTGTATGAGCTTGTATTTTGGTGAGTCTTATGGCTATAATTCCTACACCTGTTTCTACAGTGTATTCTGCTAACCTTATTCCCTAGCCTGCATGGCAAGTAGATGGTCACTGCGTGAAGCTTGCCACATGCAGTCCTGGGCTTATTGCTTCTCTTTAACCAAATCAAACTGAGAGGATTTTGGCAATGTATTAGCGATCTCTTTTCCTTCTGTTAGTTCAGTCTCTGAGTTTAATGACAATGACCTGAGAAATGTTTTGCTTTGGGTGTTTTTTAATTATTTTAATTTCTGTTTGTTTAAACAAAGCTGAACAATCCCCACTGTATKGAGAGCTGTGACGCCCAGTTTCAGTGACAAGTACTAGATGACTTTGTCCCATTTTGTTTCTTGGCAATGTTCAGAAATATAATTTGTGTCATCCTCAGTCCTGTGTCGGTCTTTCTCTTTCATTCTCTCTCCCCATTTTTCTCCTGCCCTTCCTTCCCATATTTTAGGAAGCTGAAACAATTCAGGATTTCTCTTTCCTCAAAGATTTGAGTAGACACACCCACTTTGAGCAGGTGCCATTAAATCTGAGAGTTAATGCAAYGGATGAAATGGAAAAAGCAATGCTGCATCTCTTGGTCCTTCCCTAAATGACTGCAATGGCAAAATAAAGATTTTTTACAGCCATCTCTGGGCCTGCCTGGTGTAAGGAGCTGGCTACAAGTGAGTGCATTGTATTGATGGAATCAAGACCCTTGCTTTTTAATAGCTATTGACAGTAGGCCGATGTGATCTTCAATATTTAAGGTAAGTTTTTTGATAAGAGTATGACACCGAATCAGTTGCCTTAGACCATCTGCTAGGACATCTCTCAACTCCTCCTGCCTTGCCACACTGCAGTGAGCGCTTGCCTGGAAGTCTTAAACGAAAAGCTGCAAGTTTTGTTCCTATGCTGCCTTTTAGGTGATGGCTCTAGTTTCTTTGGGGTCTGTCTTTTAATCCAGCAGTTTCTTCACTTGTAGAAAGRGTGTTTT